CAAGGTAATGATGGTTGGACTGGGGAAAGAAAACAAGAAAAAGAAGGAATAATGAGATAGGAGGCCCCCCCTGAGAAGAATGGCTGCAGTCTACAGGGGACTCTACTCGCTAGATTGGAAGGTCTCTGGCCTCTGCGCACTGATGAGCCCATACAAACCTCGCACTGACTTCCAGGACACACAGATCAGTCTGTGGGGAATGGATTTGTCCTTATGTATCCCTTTTTCTGCTTTCATGAATGATAAGGGTATTAGGCTTTGTGGATGTTGGCTGTGGTTGTTGAGGTCGAAGTGAGAGGAGCAGAGGGAAGTTGGGGTTGAGCTGTGGTTCCTCAGACGTAGCGTGGATTAGTGCGCAGGCTGGAGTGGGTTTAGTTCAGATGACGGAGGAACAGGAGGGATTGGAAACCGGGTTGAGATGATTTCACAAGGGACGTTTCAAAGGGTCTTGGTGTCATACTGTCTTTTTGTTTTCATTCTTTACATCTTGTGTCACGGTCTGGCTGGCAGAAGCTCTCTCCTCTCCTCTCCTCTCCTCTCCTCTCCTCTTTTTTTAGATAAGTATCTCAACTGAATATTGCGCAGATTGGACCGACCTTGTTGTCTATGATCACTCTGAACTCTGATGATAATGATGATGAAAGTGATGACGATTGCGATGAGAAATGTGTGTGATCCTCTTCTCGCTTTTCTTCTTGCCAGAGACATCAGAGTGTGTCTCCACATGCCTGATTTGAAAAGTCTCCACAATTACCTTGACTGGTTTAGGGGACTTCCTGAAGAACAGCTGGCAGACAAAGTTATCGTGCGGTGTGTACGTGGATGCTGTGTGTGTGTGTGTGTGTGTGTGTTTGTGTGTGTAGAGAAGTAGAAATAAATGGGCACTTGCATTCCCCATTCCTCACCCATTCAGTCAGCCTGGCCACACCAACACTTTTTTCATGGCGGCTTCAATAACCCCATAACAAATGGAGTCACGTAAATATTTAAATAAACACCGACTTGCATCCAAAACAAATAGGGGGGCAGGTTTATTAAAGAGCCCCATTGCTGCCTCTGCACGCAGCTGTACAAGAATATACAACACTTCAACTCACTGTAAACCATTTGTAATAGGGAACATACCAGAAAGATAGCAGGCGGCATGGGGAAATGCTGAGAATCCTCAATGAGGCTGTTTTTATCGGGAAGGACATGGATACTTCGTGCCATTGTTGTAAAAACTGTTAAATCTGTAGTGGGCGCTCTTATGATGTTAGTGTCGTGTGACTGTGAGTGTATAAGAGTGAATTTGTGTGTATGTTCATGCGTGTTTTCAATTGCGAGCGGGAATCAGACTTTGGTATGATGTGCGATTTACACCCGCCACGCCACACGCCCTCACACATTTTACAGCAGTGTTACGGCAGTGTTGTGTTGTACATTATGAAATGAGGCAACATTGATTTGTTTCTCGCCTTAATGTCAACGTGTTGTAATGGAGCTCTGGTCTCTGCGTTTTCTCTGATCACTTGACACATGCTCAGGCTGTGGAGTTCAAAGGCCCGGGCCTTTCTCTTGCTGGGGGATGTGATGGAGCTGTTAAAGAGGATGAATAATCACCATCAGAACACCAGAATGTTTATAGAGGACTGGACTGGCAGCTCCACACACCAGCTGAACACCAAGAGAGAGAGAGAGAGAGAGGGAGTGGTTGGAGAGAGTGAGAACAAAACAGGAGGGAAGGAAAGGGGAAGGGTGTATGACCAGAGTTTGGCCAATAAGATATTAGCCTAATGGCCTAACAGAGGGTGAAAATGAGGACATGGCTGAGATGGCACGAGGCAGGGGGAATAACCCCACTTTAAGAGGACTCTGAGGACTTGTTAGGCCTGGGCAGGTTTAAGAGCTTCGGGCGCTCCTGTCATATTTCTCTTTCATTTGAATTTAGACCTCTTGTGTTCTCTCTGTCTTTCTCATTCTCCGTCCCTCGCTTCTCTCAATCCCCTCCCTGCAGGAATGGCGGGCGCCAAGTCACTATAACAAGATATGGCAGTTTCATTCCAAATAATGACCCCAGGATTAACAAACAGAGTCCTGGAATGGTATTTAAAACAAAGCGGAGAGCTGCATGCAGACTGGACTTGCATTGTTACTGCCTATGCTGTACTTTAGCACACTTTCTGATTGGCCTAACAGACTCTCTCTGGGGAAGGGCTTTCACAGTCTGGCCTACCCCCAAAGTCAAAAAAGGACTTTAAAAAATAGATGATCATTTTGGTTCTTTCAGGTGAAGGTCAGCCATAAGGTCTAAAGAATTAGGGCAATAACCAGTTATTAGATGCAAACTGCAGCCAGTGTTACCTTTGAGGCTCATAAGAAGAGTGATGGGTTCCTCTAGAACATGAGTCAGATTAGATATTTGAAGGTTGTATTGATTTGAGGTGAAAAGGTAGTGAAAGGTCAGGGCGTTATGAAATGGATTTAATGGTAATTGCTCTAACTGCCTATGGCCTAATTTCAGACTCTGGGCTGACGTGTGTATATTAATACTCACTGCATGTTGTGCATTAAAAATTAGTTACGCAGATTTATGTGAGTGCATTGTGCTTGTAACACACTACATACCTACTCATGTAAGCTCGCATATTCGTAATTGTGCATAGTCTCCAACTTCTAGTCATGCAGGGTCCACTCCACCCTCACACTAACACTCTTATGGTGTGTAATAGAATATTTTGGTAAATTGGAGGGACATGGTCCTGTGAGTGCGTGTGACCAGGATTGATGTTTTTGAAGCGCAGAAGGGTGGTCTCTGTTTATTTTAAGCATTCATCAATGATGATTACTGAGGGTATGAACTCATTTTGGGGTCTGTTTTAATGTTTTTTTCTGTTGTGAGTTGTCAGGGCAATGTGTGTATATATGTTTGTGTTGTATTTTCCCATGTGGTAAGGCACTGTTTGGTTGGGCAAGGATGTATTCTGGACATTGTGGGGGGTAACCATGACTTTGACGTAAGTAGTGAGACTGTGGTATTGCCAGTGATAACCACCAATGGAGTTAAAATCACACCCACACTAACACACACATACTTGTCTGTGCACATAGACATTGATGTCAATGTTGGTGCAGACATTGACTCATGCACACAGTTACAAATCGGACACATGCAGATACACAACATTGTCAGAACCTACTTTACAAATAAACACACACACACACACACACACACACACACACACACAGCATGCCTAGTCCTTGGGGTAAACTCTCCTAGGTCTAGACAGCTGGGCCACATGACAGAAAGCAGCAGCCACAGAGCTCTGTCATGTCTATATGGATCCCCTGCAGAGATGAACAGGAAACGGCTCTCTAATGCAGTGTGACAGGAATACTCTAAAACACACACAGCCCTCTTCAACAAAACACTATTGACAACCCAATGATATCACAGCGGTTTATGCAGCACTCTCTGCACATTACTCAATGAAAGACAGTCCATGAAATACAATCTGTCCTGTCAAAGTCAATTTTTGCCATCTGTGACTATATGGATATTTAGTTAAGTATACGAACGTTGGAATTGGTTGTGTACAAGGCTCACAGAAACAATGTAGCTGAGAAATAAGAATGAGGGAGAAGGCACGTTGGAAATTATGGGTTGCCAAATGTATAAAATGGACTGTGCAGTCAAAGTCCTATGCTTAGCATGTAATGATGCAACACTGATTGTGGCCATCATGACAAATACAGTCCATTTCCTAGTCCCTAAATGCCAGAGGCACCTGGATGCTGAGTGTGAGACAATACTGTAGGAGAGTCCAGACACGATGAGCTTGGCCTTTACTCTGCTTTTCTTTACACACACACACACACACACATACACGCATGCGTGCACCTGTGACCTTAGTCCCTCAGCCATACATACACACACATTTCCACCCACAAATTTTAAATCAAGTTGCCACAGCAACCACAAACCAGGGTAACTAACCATCCTTTTTGTCTATTGCCCTGGCAACACACTCTTGTTGCCATGCCAACCAATTTGGCTGTTTTAGTGATATTTGGGAGAGTGGAGTCTGAGGCGGCACGGTGGTGCTGTGACATCACCGCTGTTTCATGACAAGTGTGGGAAGGAGCTGCTGAGCAAGGCAGACCTTTAAATCATGGAATATCTCTTAATGTGTCTTCAGAGAGACCCCCCCCCCTTCCCTCACCTATGACGCCCTGATGGCTTTAACATCCACAGACCTCAGGCTAACCTGGTAGAGTGTGTGTTCTGTCAATGCCTCTGTCTCAGTCCCTCTGTTTCTGCTTCTGCATCGCTTACGCCCAGTTTCTCCTATCTGTCTGTCTTCCTTTCTCACAGCAACTGTCTCTTGGACACTGAATTTGTGTTTTGACCCTCTGGATCATACAGCTAGTGCACACGCTAATAGCGAGGAGGTTGTTGCTGTGTGATTTGTGTGCTTGGCTGTTGCCATGAGTATCAGTACAGACAATCGGCCTTCGTCTGGACCACAGCAGGGACACCAGGCCATGTCATGTCTAGAACACTGTGTGCGTGAGTGTGTGTGTGTGTGTGTGTGCATGCGTGCGTGCATGCATGCATTCTCTCAGTTCTCATAGTTCCCTCTCTCGCTGTAGGAGACAAGAAACCTGAGTGCCAACATTACATCATCTCAATGAAGTGTCATTTATACATCATATAACATGATACTGTACAGCAAATGAAAATAACAGTGAGTTATGAAGAGAGTTAAATAAAGGATGGATGCAGGACAGTACATTTTCTCATCATATGTTGATTTTATATAATACGTTACAGGGTGCTACTGTACTGTGGATATTTCATCACAGGACCAAAGATTTAAACAAACCTAACTCACATTAATAGTGGGTGCATACAGTACTGAAAAATGCCAGAATACGACTGATTGTTGAAGAAAAGCTGTTTTAAAACAATGAATTTATCCAATGTCTTTCGTTTTAATCACTTTCCTTTTTTTTACCAGAATCACGTCCATTGTCCATTCCAATGAAGGTGATGCCTGACACAACAGCAGAGGAGTCATGGACAACCTCAGAGGAGAGAATGAAGGAGCTTATCGCGCATGCCTGGGATGCTGTTAAACGCCTTACTCTACAGGTACTAAATGATACTCCCTACCATTATTGTTGTTATTGTCTCTGTATCCCGTTTTCTCTACAGGGCTGATCTTGGATGGTGGTCGTTTGATGTTGTTCATCAGTGATGATCAGTGATGTGCAAGATTTCACTGTATCTAGTCCTGTTGGGGCAGAGTGGCTCAGTGGCATATCCTTGTACTCCAGGACTCGGGGTCAAGCCCCCATGTCAACAAGAATCCACCTTGCTGAAGTATTCTTGAGCTACACACTAAATTCAGATAATTGCTATTAGATTCTTTGAAATCTGGCAACCACATACTGTATTTAACAATAATAATGTCTTCAAATGTCTTGGTCTGGGGTGACTGAATAGCTCACCTGTTATAGCTGGTTACCCCCCTCCCCCCCCAAAAAAAAAACAAAAAAAACAAAAAAAATGTCTTGGCCTACCAATTTATGCCAATAATTACCACATTTATCTTTCAGGTTCAAGCTTGTTGCTCCTTGACTTGACCTTATACAGAAGTTATTGGCTGTCACACATGTCCGGGAGCAACTTTACATTTCCAAACACCAGTCTCTAATCTACTTTAGAGACCATTAACCCACTCCCTTTTCGCCTCTTTCTCTCCTTTGTTACAGTAAAGTACTGAGGTTTAGCTCAGCCCAGCCCAGCTTAGCTCCCTCTGTACTTGTGGCCATATGGCTTCCAGGGACCTCTGTTAGCTGTTAGCCCATTAGCCTGTTTTACATACAAATGCATACGTAGCGTCTCATGTCCCTTTGTAGCGGACTGACTTTCTGGTTGACTGGCTGGCTTGCCTGATGTCCCTGTCCGTCTGTTTAAGTGTCTAACTGGATAGTTAAGTGCTCCCATTGTGTGGCTGCTTGCTGCATCTTGACTGGACCAGTTAGCAGAGCCCACATCACAACCAACCCCATCTGAAGTGCATCAAGAAGTGCTGACAACTCTTTGACAGGGCTCCTCTTGATGCAGGAACAGAACGTCATGGTGTATGCACACGTGTGTATCTGTCTACGCACCCAGTGTTCATGTGGTACTTTACTGATTGGTGCATATGGATGTCTTTGTGTTCAGTAGTCTGTTAGGTTTGTTTGTGACTTCTCGTCTAGAGAGTTTTAATTTTGTATTTTTTTGTATTTTTTTTTATTCACATATACTGGTTTTTGGTTGGCGGCCGTAGACATCAGAACTGTGTTAAAAAACTACACATCTTCTCATTATGAGAGACCTGATCAGGATGTCTCAGATGTCCTACAGATCACTAGAGCATGGAAGTATTCTTTGACTGTTGGTTTTCTCTGTCAGCACACAGTCAGACTCAAACAAGGTTATGGTTACATTGTGATGTCAGCAGACTATCAACTCACAGATCATAACTTCACCGGATTCTATTTTCATACCTTTCTGGCGGTGTACTGTTGTATATGCAGGCAGTTCAGCACAGAAGTTTTCTCTTAACAGGTTTATTTGTGGCAGCCGGGATACTCTGTATGGGAATTCAAAGTGCAGGTAATCTGAATCAGTCTTTAATTGGAATATGGCTTATAGGCAGGTTTCTTTGTGCATGTAAACAATAACCAACGATGCAAAAGTCCAACAACAACCATTCTTAATTCATATTAATTCTCATTGCTAGGACCACACAAACCGGTGTCAGTCAAACATGAAAGAGAGCATGACGCATTTGAATTGAAATAACCCTCCAGAGCCCAGGTCCCCTGTCAGCCCATTGAGCTGTTTATAGTACTTCCACAAAAGTTAACTCAACCCTCTAATAGTTTGCTGAGCCCGTCATTGCCTCCACTTTCCTCTGTCCCCTTCGGCTGTGCGACCGGGACCACACCACGTACTGTAGCGGTAATTAGGAAACAGTCTGTCCTGTTGACATGGGAGTGGAAGCGGACCAAACCGAACGACCCGACAGCTGGTACCCCAGGCCTTGGATATCCCCAAATTTAAACCACTCCATTTATTTTAGTGTGGTGTAAACAGAATACCTAATGGCTCACACTTCTGCTGCACATGTGCCCAATTTGGCATGCAGGGCTTTCTCCGTCTTTAGAAGAGAGAGGAGCAAGAGGGAAGGAGCGAAGTAAGGGAATGAGATTGGTGGGAGAAAGTTACAAAAGTATTTATTATTCTACGGCTGCTGAGACCACTTAAGGCTGTTTAAACAGAATACATGGGACACGTGATAGCTGGTGATCGTGTAAATTGGTTTAAAAAATCTCCCTGGTTTTATGATGGTTTGTCTCTGTGACATCAATTCTTTCCTACAGATTCACAGCAGGAGGCAAAGGAGGTCGTGGTCTTGCACAGATGCTAGACTGTGGGCATATTTAAATAGGAGTAGGTAAGAAAATAGCGATAATGCAGAATGGAAAAGGTAGGGTACATGAGGTTTTCATTTTCAGCTATTTTCTGTTGTCATTTATTCCACCAATGTCAGCAGTTCACAAATAGCCCAGAACACTTGGAATAAAACGTGTTCTATATTTTCAATTTATAATCTAAGTATTTAAGTTGTTTAAGGTCTGATGCACTTTGCTGCATCATCCCTTATCTTACCTCAAGAAACAGCATAACCTCAAAAAAAATCTGTGTAAGCAATTCTGTCCCACTGCTCTGTGCATTTCATTACAGTGTGACTCTATACTTGAATATGGCTTATGTAATGTCTTACACACATATCCCACTTAAAGTCTAAAACCAGAATAGCAGCTGGAAAAATCAGAACATGCACTGTTTCTATTTGTAGCGTTCTGCTCTAAAATCTTTCTTTACACCATACTTGTCTTTTTCAATGACAGACATAGTTAGCATTGATTCCTGGTGATGGCCCGTCATGCGTGGTTTGGGCACAGATTATTATCTGAATCCATGAGTGTCACGGTCTATCTGTAGCTGAGTGCTTTAACCAAACCCCAGAGATGATTCTGAGCCATGGTTCCCCTGTGACTTCAAATCCAGTGCATTCCTATCTATCTCAGTTTGCAAGACGCTCTTCTCCTGTTACCTCGCTAGGAATGATAGCCGTTTCTCACCCTGCAGTGAAAATGGCCAAAACTTTATTCGTAATCCATTCAAAGCCATCACAGAACTTCCTTTAGTCTCCTCAAAAAACAGTCAGTAATAAAAAAAGACGGACGGGCAGCTAATGTTGAAAACAGACAAGCCGGCTGCTTCAAAGAAAAATGGTTCAGTTTACACATATAGCTGTGGTGAATCACTACTTGGACAAATTGGGGCCCCACATTCTTAAACCGTGGTCGATTAGTTTAGATGCTCCTCAGGAAAGATGTACCGAGAGAAAGAGAGGATGCTAATGTGGAAGAAGAAGACATTTACGAAGAGCGAAAGAGCCAGTGTCTTTGTCACACCATTGCCACAGGCATGGTGAGGTCAGAGGGACTTAACCATCCAAACTGAGCCCCTAAGGCCCAAGATGGTGGAGTCTCCTTGACATTACGTACAGCACAGATCATCTGTGTCATACACACAATGAGGGAGTGTGTGTGTGTGTGTTTTTCCCTGTAGGAGCAGCTAAGTTCCTTGGTCATGCAAGGCTATAATATGTGTAGGTGGTGTTATTTTAGTAGTCACTTCACATTAGGGCTGAAGGGCAGTGCTGTAATTGTCACCCTAGCCAGAGTGGCCTGGCACATCTTAAAATGGCCACTTGCCCTCAGCCTTGGCGTTCTGACCCTCAGTTTTGCTTCCTTCTCTTGCTACAACTCATTGTGTTACTCTTTGCATACAGTACATCTCCTAAACTCTTCACTTTGCCTCTCGTGTCCTTCTCAGTCCCCCACATTTCTCCCCTGCACTCATTTCCTGCCTACCTTTCCCCCTCCCTTACCCTTACCCCTTTTCATCCTGTCATCTCCCCTTCTCCGCCCCATTCTCCCAGAGGACACCCATGTTCTCTCTGGACCCTGATAATAATTGCAAGTGATCAGGATGGTGATTCTATTTCAGGAATTTTGCAATAATTCCTTCTATTTAACACATGAATGTGTTCAGCGCTGGCAAAGGAGCACGTTGCTACCAAAACTGAAATGGGATCCGCTGAAACAGAGAGACCGTTGCCATGGAAAAATGAAGTAACACTGCTCCCTGCAGCTGCCATGCATTAATGAGTAGGATATTTTTTGAGAGAGAAAAAGAGGAGAAAAAGCAGTGGGGTAGAAAAGGTAAAGTGATGGAAAGGAGATGGAGGTTAGGAAGCGAGGAAGAAAGAGAAAAACTGGGCAGAAGGTAAGTTTGATGGCAGAAGGAAAGCGAGAGAGAGATAGAAAGGAGGATCATGTGCACTGTATGTTTGGTGTGGCTCAGATTGAGCTGGCCAGATGGTTTCCATGAACAGGACCTGACCCCCGGCTGAAGCGCCTTCTGCAGGCACATTACTTCATCCTCTGCCCCCCTTCCTCCATCCTATCATCCCTCCACTCAACACCTCATCCTCCCTGTCTGTCAGATCCTACAATTTCCAAATGATTTGTAATTACAACTTTAATTTTGTGCCACTTAAAACACCATGTTTCTTTTGTGGATTGTGGTAATAAATTGTCAACTTTTCAAACTTGACAATCATGATACAAATCACAAGGAACTCATCTAAATCATAACATAGGCATTTTTTTGTAGAGACTTCTGCTTAAAGTGTTATATACTGGTTTATGTGCATACATTTACTTAATTATAATAATATTAAAATTAATCCAGCCATGAATAGGGTCCTAAGCTAACCACTGAGCAAGAAAAGCCCAGATTTGAAAATGTGTTCGGTTGATTAGTACAATTCAGTAGAATATTAGTATAAATAGGATGTAATAAGAGAGCAAAGCAATTAAACTGTAATTACCCTCACAAACAAAAGTTACCCACACACTCCCTAGTGCATTCCCTCAGAGGTCCCCTGACTTTTTAATACCTCTCTTTTGTTTGACTTTAACACTGGCAGTTGAACCACACATGCACACACTCTGACTGGA